GGGCTTTGATATGTACAGTATGGTCCTGGCTGTGCCCTCTTGTTCTCCCAGCTTCTCAAGTCGCTATGCACTACGGGAGTCCATTTCCAGCCTCACATCACACCACTCTCCTCTTCACATGTTCCCTCCTGGTTTCTTTCCCTCCTGGTTTCTCAAATCTGCCAGGAGCCCCCCATTCTTAATGTCTTGCACATAATCTTCTCTCTGTCTGAAATGACTACTCTCCTTCTAGTAGTCAATTCCTTCTTAACTTGGCCATCACTGCTCAGGGATGCTAACCTTTTATCTCATCCCTTCCAGATTAAGTCCACTACCCATGTTGTACAGTCTCACAGCGTGCTATAATTTCCTTACCAGTGCTTAGCATAATATCTAATTTTGCACATATTTTGGAGATTATGAGACTAAGGACACCTTTAATCTTTCAGTCCTTGGCACACAGTAAGTACTCTATACATTTTTGCTGATGAATAAATGACAGACAAGTAGAAAATCAATAAAATCGCAATTCTTGATTGAATTCACTACGGAATAGATTTTTTAAACTCATATTCTGATATAGAAGGTAAATAAAGAATTCCCATTACATTTTGAGTAGGTGGCACATTTGACAGTGTAAAAAAACATTATTTTAGTCTTTAATTTTTTTTAAATGTGATTTTAAAAATTGATTTCAGAGAAGAAGGGAGAGGGAGAAAGATTAATGATGACAGGGAGTCATTGATTGGCTGCCTCCTGCATGCCCCCTACTGGGGATCAAGCCTGCAACGGGCATGTGCTGTGACCTCCTGGTTCATGAGTTGATGCTCAACCACTGAGCCAAACACCCAGGTGACAGCATGAAAATTCTTAAGAACTGTAAAGATTCATAGTCAAGCCTCCATACTTACAACTCCAGAAAGAAGAGAAGGAAAGGGTAAGATGACTACAAATTTTGTACTTATTTAGCTGAGCCTGGTCCCTTTTAGTTAAGTCCAGCCAGTACACAACCCCCAACATACATGCTTGCGCGCGCGCACACACACACACACACACACACACACACACACACACACACGAGAAATGTAGAAAAAAAATTATCCTGGCTCTTTGTCTCAAAAATTTATTATGCTAACTCCCACTTACACAATCCATTTCTCCTTGCTCTCAGCCTTATTGGTTCTTCCATGGACCCATTTCTTTCTGCCCATATTATCAAACCCACTCCATAAAAATTCAAACTTATTTCTGCATGCCTGAAACTCAACTCAACAGCATTCTAAAACTTCTCTTCCTTTCTCTCCTCCCTACCCACTCCTAATTACTGGTTTCTCAATCTCCAATCCCCTTGTCCTGAAGAATAACAAACCACCACCATAATTGTGGCTAATATTTATAGAGTGCAGTGGGTCAGACACTGTTCTACATACTTAACTCATGTACGCATTAGTTTACTGAATCCTCAGATCATTTCACTCCTGTTTGCAGACAAGGCAGCTACAGGAGAAAGATTGAATGTCATGCTCAAGGTCACAGCATATAAGTGACAGAGCTAGGATTTGAGCGCAGGCTGGGTTTCCCAGCCACTGCCTCTGTCTAGCACTGCCAACCTAATGGGCTTTTCTAGAATTCCAATTCTACCTTTCACTCTTCTGGAGACATCAAAATGAACTTGATATTTGCAGTAAGAGGCCAAATTATTACTAGCATTTGAGATCCACCACCAATTGACCACACCTTGACTGGCCCTGTCTTAATTGGCCCTGTCATTATAATAATGGCTTTATCTTGGGAAATAACTGGCCCTTCTCCAAGCCATCCGCCTCCAGGCTTAATCTTATGTACTTTCCAATGTCTTTCTGTACTTAACAATATCCTACTTCCTTCCCATCCACCATTCCAAAGACTCAACTGAATTTCTAACTACCCTGTGAATGACAAGCTAACGGAAAACGCTGGCCTACTTGGACTGTCCCTTCCTCTCAATTCCTGTTGGGAGTTTATGTAAGCGGATACAGGGTGAGTTGACTATTCAGTTATTCTTGAAAGTCTACTTAATGTGTAATTCTGGCCACTCTAAGGAAAGTAAGAGTGCACCATGTAATAAACAATATTCATTTAAGTAAAATCTATGTGATTGAGGCAATATTTATACATACATACAAACACTTTTTTCCCCAATGTCTTCCAGCCAAAGACCACCAGATCCTGCTTTGGGGGGGATCAGAGTCATTGATTTCTGAGATGACTTGAATGTGAACCAAATCTGAGTGGTGAGGCAAAGATGGAAGATGACACTAAATGGTAAAGAGGATGTCAAGAAAGTAGGGGATGTGTGATCCAGGGGAGGGGTCAGGATAGAGTTGAAGAATATAGAGTAAAAACTTGGTACCCATGTGAGATGTGCCCACAGATGCAGATGTGGTGGTGTGATGGCACTGTGCCCAGATGGACAGCCTTGTCCCTGCCAGGTAATCTAGGCACCAACTATATGCCATGTATTATGTTCAGTGCTTTATACAATCTCTCACTAAATCACCACAGCTACCACACAGGACAGATCTTATCATGCCCATCTAGCAGATGGTGAAACTTAGCTAGAGAGGTTAGCTGATTTGTTCAAGATCACTTAGAAAAGAAGCTGAAAGACAGAAATTTGAATTTAGATCTCTTTGATCAGACTTCCATTGCACCTCTCAAGATCCAAGCTTCCTAGGTTTAAAAAAAGCAAAACGAAAAAAAAAAATTGAGCAACCTGATAAAGTATTTTTAGAAGCTAATGCTCCAACCTCAGTTAAGGCCTAAGATGACCCTTATGTCAACTTCAGCTTCTCAATTCCTAATCCACTGAAATAGAGAGGGACTAAACATTTCTTGTTTTAGCCCACTAAGCATTGGATGTTTGTTACTCAGAAATTGATAATACACTTCTGTTATATTAAGCCAGCAATTTTCAATTTGTATGCTGCAAGAATTTTTAAATCATGCAACATGTACCTGACTATTTAGTCAGGAGCACTGACCTCTTTCCCTTAGATGAGAGAGAGAGAGAGAGAGAGAGAGAGAGAGAGAGAGAGAGAGAGGGAGAAGACAACAGCCAATACAATAGCCATCCAGTGTGAATGAATTAAAATTATACCTATTTTTTGTCAGATCAACAAAATGTATATTTTTAGCGTGTCACAGAATTTTAGTAATTAGTTTATGTGTGCCACGAGATGGAAAAGGTTGAAAATTGATGGATTAAGGATATGTGTGTGTGTGGTGGGGGGGAGGTTAAGTAAAAGGAATAGAATGTGACTTACAGAAAGCCTGACAAAAAGAGAAAGTACCAGAAATTCTCCTCTGGCTCAGGGAATTATATGAAGACACAGACTTGGAGACAAATGTGTCCTGACCTCCAGTCTTGGGACTAAAGTTTTTGAGGTCACAGTTCCTGATATGTCGAGGAAGAATCAAGCTCCTGTTTGGTCTATGGGAGGTGAATGTCTCCCTAGGCACCCTGTACTGACCCTGGGCTCTGAGCACTAAGAAAGTATAGAAAAAAACCCAAGAAGTTCCCAGAGACCCCCGAGGGAGGAAGAAGAGGTCAAGGAGAGTCTGGCTGAATAGCTGCCAGAGAAGGTCATTACTGTGGCCATGAGGCTGAGTGACCAAACCAGGGTCAAAGAGATATTACTCCCACATGTCAGGAGAACCAGTGCCAGCCAGAGCTGAGGAGGAGCCAAGTCAGCAGGCTGGGCCTCAGGGAAGCAGAGAGAACACAGCACACATTACAGTGATTACAGACCCCCACACCCAATGTCAGTGTCAGCAACATGCCCAGAAATGGGGAAGAGTCATCACACACACCCAGGAAACAGCAGGAACTCATCCCAGTACACCCCAGTGCTTAACTCATGGAAGACCCCACGCACTGTCATGGAGAAGAAGGCATTGGTGAGGAAAGCAAGGCAGAAAGAGAATGTTTCTGAAGAGATCATTCAGGGGTTGGATTGGGTTGAGTTCATTTGTTATCTCTACTCTCCAGTGGGAGCTGGGTGAGGGGCTTGAAAGGAAAGTCACAGAAATTATAGAAAACAATGAGGCTGCAGTCTCTTGGCAAATCTCCATTTAGTGGAGTAAATAGGTGATTCCAGTTCAGATTCTATAAAACTCTGTCATAAAGATTTATTGAGGTTCAAGGCAGGGTTCTGTCCTAGAGCCAGAACATGAGAACCAGAAGAAACACTAGTAATGACCTAATTCCTGGTGTTTCCCTCTGTGCTTTATCTGAGGTATCCATGTCTCTCCTCCCCGAGCCCATGACCCAGCAAACTCCAAGGACTAGAATTCAAAAGATGGCCTCAGCTGTGCCATATGCATTTTGGGGAATTATACCTTTAGGATCTATTTTAAAGATCTGTCACCCAGCCATTGGTCCCCACACATGCAGCTCAGATCAGTAGCATGCAGAAATCAGCTGTAGCACACTTTTCCTGTAGATCAGAAGCCAATCCTTATTTTATTCAAATGTGTACAGGAGATGGGAAAGGAGCAGGACCACACAGTAGTGTGGCAGTGTGCACAAAAGCTAATGTCAACATCTCATCCAGGCTCCGCTGTCCCGGGCTGTCCCGAAGGCGGCTCCTTGGAACTTGGTCTGGATAGATGGAGCCTTGGAAGAGACCTCATGAAACTCAGGCCTCCCAATCAAATCTTCTCCACCAGGGCTGACCATGACATTTGCACCATGAAAGGGCAGGTCATTTGAATGGGAGCCTTTTCTTAGCTATTCACATAGTCTTTTTTGAAGCAACCCAGTTCTTGCAAACAGGTGTCTTTCAAATGGTCAGAGCAGCCAGGGAGGCAGGGGCCTACCACAAGTGAGCTCTTCTTGCCCTCCACAAGCTCTGTGCTTGAAATCAGAAGCCCTGGCTCGGCCAAATTCAAGGGCAGAATCCCACCTTAGGTCCACACTGCCTTGTGCAACACACGCATGCATGCACAGAGGCACAGACACTCCTTCAGTGGGCCTGAGCTCACTTCATGTTTCTCTCGATCCAGTCCTTAAAAGGCAGCACCTTGGTGAAAGCTGTGTAGAGGCTATGGCTGCACGTTTTGTCGTAGCTCCAGCTGACCAGCCCCACCAGATGCCAGCGCGGCTCAGGGGACACCTGTCCTGGGAAGGACACAGCTGCGATGCCCCCCGTCTCTGCCGTGCAGATGTCGGAAGGGGTGGCGGGGTCCCGGCTGGCACAGAACATGTTGTCCGTGACGCTCACGGGGATGCCGTGCTCTTCATGTTGCTCTTCACACATCAGTGAGTCCACCACCCTGAATACCCCCGAGCGCAGCACATCGTTCTTGAAGCCGGGGCTCCTCACATCTGCCAGGATGTTCCAGCCGGCCACAGTGAGGTGGGCCTCCTGGAAGGCGGTGCTGAGGTCCCGGGTGGCCGCGAGGCAGATGGGCTGGACGCGGGTGCTGATGCGAGCCTTGTCCAGGAGCTTCAGGACAGCAATGTCAGCATCCAGCAGGATGGGGTCGTAGTTGGGGTGCAGAATGATTGCAGAAATCTACATGTGCAAGGAACGGACAGCAATGGTGAGTCACCCACTCCTCAGTGGACAAGAGCAGGAAAGCCTTGGGGCTGAATTATCGGGAATAAATGTCTAAGAGACAGCTGCAATTATTTGGAGATACTTTGCCCAAAGGATCATAGAAAGCGACTGCTCTGTTTCCAGGGTTGCAAACTGAAATGCCCACTGGGGCCTGGCAGGTATTTTAAATAAGTGGAGTGGAGAGGCGAGGCTGTAGAGAATGAGAGCACACACTCCATCTAGAGTGGGCAATTGCCACCTGGCTCTGGCTGACCGCTGCCATGCAGTAATGGGGCCAGCATTCTAACTTTGCCAGAGACTAGACTCCAGATCTTTACCTGAAACCTAATTTTTAAATGTTGGCGAACAACTGATTTAAAAATGATATGTTAGCACGATCGAAACACAAACTCCTACAGGCTACCAGTTGGCAATCCCTGGTCCACTGTAAACATTTCATTCATCTTCCACCCAACAAAATAAAATGTTCCACAGACTTTTCCACAAGTCTTCTCTGATTGCCCCAACCCTTGCCCCAACTCTTTGATGGGTGCCTCTAGGAGCTTACATCTGTGATAACTTGTACCATTTTATGTATGTTCCTACTATTCCATCTACATTTGGGTTCATTTTCCTCAATAGATGAATAGATGGATAGATTAATAGTTGAACAGATTGATGGGTGGATGGATTAATGGATAGATGAATAGATGAACAAATGAACAGATAGTTAGCTGAACAGATGGATGGGTGGATGGATAAATGGATGGATGGATGGATGGATGGATGGATGGATGGATGGATGGACGGACATGTGGGTAGATAGCTAGAAGAGATGGAGGGAAGGAGGCAGGCAGGGAAACAGAGAAGATTATAAGTTGATTTGGAATATTTTGGATAAAACCTCTCTATGTCCTCAAAACCTACCCAGTACAGTGCCCTAAACATAACAACAGGTGGTTAACTTTTGATGACCACAATGAGAGATAATTGTTACTATCTTATTTTTAAAACATTAAATGGAAAAAGGACTCTGTAATCTTTCTAGATGCTCCCTTTCTATAGTTGTCAATATGCAATACTGGGTACCTGCTACATGCCGGGCTCTCTGCTGGGTGCTAATGTGCTGAGATGAAGGACTGACACCTTCACTGTTTTCCTAAAGCTGGGAGTTTGCTGAGCCAGGGGTCCAGGGTCCACGTTGTAACCCTCTCTTACCCGCAAGCTCTGGATGGTCTTCTCATCTCGGTCGTCATCCCGGTAGAATTTCCCCAGTACAACTTTGAGGCCTGCTGTCTTGACCATGGTGACCTTCCCCAGGTCAGTTACGCAGTGGGCAGCCACCACCACGGTCCGTTCATTCACCAGGGCACCGCTGCAGATCAGGAACCACTCATCCTTGTGCAGGCTGCCCCCATGCAACCCGCTGACTCTTCGGTAGATGGCCGCCTGCCAGGGCCAGCGCAGCCCCTGGGTCTTTGGAGCAGTGATGTTCTCCGTTTTCCCACAAACTACAGAGAAAGCACGGGCTCAGTAAGATCAGCTCAGAAGAGAAATGTGTCACACAACTAAGAGAGCACAAATCCATCGGTGTCATGACCACTAAGCATCTAACTTGTGAGGTCTTCCCCGCTTTATTAAATATTAATTAACCACCTTGCCACGGCTGGCTATAAAATCTAGGGTAAAGATTAGAGACTTCCAATCCCAGATACTTACTGGGCAAGTTGCCTAATCTCAAAAGCCCCAGTCTTTTGCTTTCAAAATGGATAGAGTAATAGCAATCACCTCACAGGGTGAGATGATATATAAAACCAGTTAGACTTGAAATATTATGATTATCACTATAAAAGTGACCACCATGGACTAAGCCATATTGCTTTCCTTTGACAAAGAGGATGGGGAAGGTAGCTTAGAATATGTAAGACCCTATTCCAAACACTTCTACATATTATCTCAGTAAACATTATAACCTCATGAGTAATTAATACTTCATTATCTCTATATATAAAAGCCTAATGACTGAATTGTGGAACAACCAGAATGACCGGTAGACCAACTGCTATAATGCACACTGACCACCAGGGGGAAGATGCTCAGCACAGGAGCTGCCCACTGGTGGTCAGTGTGCTCCCACAATGGTAGTGCCAGTCAGCTAACCGGATGAGTGGCTGCTCTGGCAGTGGGATGAGCAGCACTCCCATAGCAGTCTGATCCCTGCAAGCCACACCCCCCATCAGTGCACAAATCTGTGCACCAGGCCTCTAGTCTAATTAACAGCAATAATCTAATTAAATACCATTGATTAATGAGGATAAAAACTGGGGCTTTGACAGCGTAACCAAGATAACATAACTAGAAACTATCTGACACCTTTAACCCTTTCTCCACTTGGTTTTTAATGACTGCTCTCTCCCTTTTCTCCAAGTAAATATAATAGAATTAGCCATAAGAAAGTATGCCCCACCCCCCCACCCCCAAATTATCTAAGATTTAATGAGTTAATTTCTTCTGGGTAATAACTTTTTTTTAAAAAAATATTTTATTGATTTTTTTACAGAGAGGAAGGGAGAGAAACAGAAAGAAATGTCAATGAGAGAGAAACATCAACCAGCTGCCTCTTGCACACACCCTTCTGGGGATGTGCCCGCAACCATTGTACATGCCCTTGACTGGAATCGAACCTGGGACCTTTCAGTCCGCAGACCTATGCTCTACCGCTGAGCCAAAGCTGTTTCGGCCTGGGTAATAGCTTTAAGCCACAGGAAGGAAACTCTGTGGAATTTCAGACATCACCTAGCTAGGAAACGTATTAGAGTACCATTCCTTTGAGAAAGTACCATTCCCCCCACCTCTGCCCAAAAAAAAAGGTTAATGACTTTTCATAGGCTGCCAGATAGGATGTAAGCTGCCCAAGTCTAAGGATGAACCTTGACTCACTAGGGATGCAGGAAGGGGCACGCCCACTCCACTTTCCAGTTCTCAGACAGGTTCTCCGGCTGCTGCCCAGGCGGCGGTAGAAAGGCGAGATGCACTCATACTGGAGCTGGGTGTGCAAATGTTGGTACCCAGTGGGCAGGTCTCCAAAGGGAAGGGCTGGCTTCTTGGTAGGGATGCCCTGCAGTTTCTGCTTGCTGAAGGTGGATGAGTAGAGCTGGTGTAATGGGGTCTGCCTGCATCAGGGCACATGGATCCAGAGAGAGAGCAAAGTGAGACGGTCATTGTGGCCTTTTTAGTCTCATGCCAATCCCCATGTAGATATTTGGCTACATTCAAAGAAAGCAATGGATTCTCTCTCTCTCTCCTTTCTTTATCTCCCCTTTTCTTTCATTCTCTGTTTCTCTTTCTCCTTTCCTCTCCCTGCCCCCTTACTCCCCACTCCCCCACACACTTCCCTTCTACCATTGAGCAAATTATCTTGCACATTTCAACCTTCATTTTATTCTCCATTTCCATTTCTGGCATGTCTCCAGCTGTCTAGGATTTTAACCAAAGAAGATAGTATCTGACATAATTGCTGCTATCCAAAGGAACACTAACATGCACACACACAAAAAAAAAATTAAATTAAACAGGAAAGGAAGTTAATTTGAATGGGAAAGATCCAGACGTATTTTTTCCCCCTCTAACCGTTATCATAATGGAGCAATATCAGAAATTGGCTTGAACTAAACTGAATTGCTACAGTAGCTTGATTTAGCAATTAGCAGATGTAATTAGTACACCTCAGAGAATAAAGCTTTCTCTCAGGGCACATTGATTGGGAAAAATATGGAGTGTTGTGTGTAAATGTCAAAAAGGTTTTTTAAATGAGCCCCAAAGTTGAAGCCCCTTGGGAGACCACTTGGGGATTCTTGGGGGAGATGTAAGCACTTCGTACAGCTTGTGTTCGTTTTATATCAGTGCATAATGACTGCTAACTGGAAAGTTAGAATTCCTTTAGGAATCCATGAGCTCATCCCGCTTATTGAATGGAGGAAGGAAGCCCAGAAAGGTAAGTGGGAGTGCCTGAGGGCACACAGGAAGCTAAGCCGGTACCCAAGGCAACACTTATCGGTCATGATTCCCACCCTGCTGTCTCTACCGCATCGATTTCATAGCATCTAAAGTGATCTATTTCCTATGTCGCTACAGGGCTTTGCTCAGAGCAGATATTTAAGGCCCATGGATTTCATCAGAGAGACCCTCAGCTCATGTTCAGAACCAGGTCTGCAGCTCAGGGAGCTTCTAGACATGCAAACAAGCTCACCTCTTGGGTCTTCTGCTGAAGGTCTACACTGCCTCAGGGGTTCCTGGGTAAGCCTGGCTGCTGGAGATTGGCATACCCCCGCCCTAGCCTCCTGTCTTCCAGAAAGATCCTTAAAACCAAATTTTAGGTTTGCTTTTTTATCTTCATGGGACACCTGGCACCTGGGCACCTAACCTCCCATTATAAGTGCTTTTCAATTGCAAAGTTCAAGTTCTTTTTCTTTCAGCTCAGGCCTCCTCTGTGAGATGTCTCCTTGGGAATGACAGGTGGGTTAGGCTTATCCCACTGGCTGAGGGTCCAGCCCAGGTGACTCACAAAGATCAGAAAAGGGGGCGGAATCTGGATTCCACTGTCACTGCTCCCACAGAAAGGCCCTGCCTGAAAAGGGAAAGACAGACATGGAGTGAGATAGCCCCAGGAACAGGAAGTGATAATGAATTTCTGCTGTCAAAACATTTCAGGTCACTTAGTTGGGGTTGGGGTCAATTCAAGTCATGTGTTATACTATTTCCAAAAAATATATTACTGTGTGCATAAGGCTAAGGAGTTTTGCTAGGGCTTTTACATAAACTTAGTTAAAGTTTCATCATAAGAGAGCAGACCCTGAAGCCTTCAGACCCTGAAAACCCTGGATTTGCATCTTGGCTTTGCCATTTCTTCTACCAGTGTGACCTTGAGCATGTTCCTTAATTTCTCTGAGCCTCAGTTTACCCATCTGTAATAAAAATGGTAATAAAATCTATAATAAAATGCTAACAAGACCTACTTCAGAGATTGTAGTGAGGATTAAATGAGCTAAAAGATATAAAGCATTCGGAAGAGCAATGGGCACACTGTCAACACCCAATCAAAGTTAGTGTTACATTTAATCCTTACAAGAGACTGATGTTATTATGATTACTCTTCTTTTTCAAAAGAGGAAATGAAAGGCTCAGCAAGTGAGGAACTTGCTAAGGATGCCCAGTTCTAAAGAGAGACAGACCAGGTCTTGGACCCTTGTCTGCCCATCCAATTCAGTCATTCAATAGATGTTTATCAAGGACTTCGTCTGTGGCAGGCACTATTCTAGATATTGGGACTTCAACATGAACAAACAGGTAATGTTCCTGCACATGTATGTAACTTTTACATATTTTGGCAGGGTGGTGGTGGGTGCAGATGAAAATAGAACAAGTAAACCAAAAAACTATATGGAAGACACCAGGCTGAGCTGGTTACTAAGATGAAAAGTGAAGTATAGTAATCTGGCCTGCATGGCTCAGTGGTTGAGTGTTGACCTATGAACCAGGAGGTCACAGTTCAATTCCATCATGTCACATGCCCAAGTTGTGGGCTCGATCCCCAGTGTGAGGCGTGCAGGAGGCAGTCGATCAATGATTCTCTCTCATCATTATTGTTGTCTCTCCCTCGCCATTTCTCTCTGAAATCAATTTAAAAATATATATATTTTTTAAAGAAATGAAGCATAGCAAAGGCCAGAGAGCACTAGGTAAAGAAGTCAGCTCAGGGTCCAGGTGGAGGTGTGGGGTTGCTAGTTTTTAAAGGACAGTCTCTTTGACCAGAGAACTGGAGGAAGCAAGACGTTAAACCTCATTGAAATCCAGTGGAAGCAGGTTCCTGACAAATGCAAAGCTCTGAAGCAGATCTGTGCTTGGAGGACTATGGCAAAAGCAAAGCAGCTGTGTAGCTGGAGAGGAAAGAATGAGGAGAGGATGCTGGGAGATGAGATGAGAAGAGTATTTCCTAAAAAGAAAGGAGTAGAAATAGGTCTGTTCTCTCCCTACTGGGTAGTCCTTCCAGGAGTAAGGCAGGGTGGGTGTACTAGAGGGCTCACAGCCCTCCTGGAGTTAGGCATCTATCTCTAGTTCCTGGGCTCCACCAGCCAGCCTCACCTGGTTGGTTACTACCAAGAACATCTTCCTGAGCCACAGCTGACTGCATTTGGCAGGAATGCCATCTCCCTAGGAGCTGCCATAATGAATACATAGACATTTCAGGAAGAGTAAGGTATTGAAATCCAGTTCATCAAAGATCATCTTCAAGTCTCGCTTCCTGGCAGCCATCTACTTTCCCACGATCCAGCGAAATCTGTTCATCTTCCAACAATTGCTACCTCTTGGCTAAAGGCAGCTGGCTAACAAGCCACCATCTGACCAGCCCTATTCTCTCATGCCAATCAGCACTGAATGTCCCTAAGAAACCAAGCTGCCTGGCCAAACACAAGTGGGAAAAGGGGCGGGGAGGGAACCTTCATTGGCCTTCACCTTCAGAGGAGAGAGCTCACCTGGACTGAACCTGCATTGGAAGCACTCTCCGTCTCACCAGGTCTGAGATCTTTGGTTCTCGGCAGGCTAGGGAGAAAAGAGACAGCACTGGGTATTCTTGTTCCATTTTAACTGCTCACAGCATTCAGTGCAGGCTCAGACCTGACCACCTTTTCTGGGCACCTCACATTCCCTGAGCTTTCGGAGGTGGGACATGTGCAAGCTTTGACAGCTTAGCAGAGACACAATTGATACCCCTTTGAAGAGCCCAGGGGTACATTTAGGAAGAGCTCTCCACCTGTGTGGTTTGGAACAATGAATGGACTAGGATTATCTGGACCCATAAATAGTATTTGTAAATTTGGTCAAAATGACATAAAAGTCAAAACGAAGATTCTGAAATCTAAACCAACATAGGGAATGACAAGGTTCTCATGTAAAAGCAGACAGCAGTGTCAACCAGTAAGTCTTGGGTAACCGACTCCTCCACGTCACTTCCCTGAAAGAAGGCTCCTAACAACCCTTTGAGGGTGAGTCAAAGCCCAGTTTAATTGTCAAGTCTTTTCTTCTTCACCGGTAAAAAGAAATCCTCCCCACGTCACTTTCTCCATCAAGCAGCCAATATTCATCTCATTAGCAACCTAGGGAACTTGGATTTTATGAACTTGTAAGAGAAGAGTTGACAAAAATCTCCACGGGCATAGGGGACACCCTTCCCATGCTTAATGACATCAAGAATCGGGGAGTCTGTGCTGGTGGGGATGAAAGTCGCTCCTGGCTTGAGTCTAAAGGGATTCATTCCTTTCACAAACCATCCTCTTTCATTCCTTTTTCCCATGATGAGGGTTGTTGACAAATACCCAGAAGGGAAAGTGGAGGGTTGAGGCAATTATCTGGATAATCTAGGCCAAGGACATATCCCTATTGCCAAGGGGTAAGGGCCCCCCCCACCCCCCCCAACCACCTTTTTTCATTTATCTCCCAGATTCCCAGATTGCCTCACTTTGGGTTGACATGATTCTTTCACCCCTGCCTATCCTCCTTTTCTTCTCCTTTCTTTTCCAACCAGATTATCGTCCCAGCTCCTCTTCACCTCTACAAATTCTTCCCAGCCACCCAGAAGGGCTCCAAGTCTCCTCACTGTATGCAACTGTCCCTGCTATAGGCAATGGGGTCATTCCCGTCTCTACATGTGCACTGCGCATCTATTCTTGGAACCCTGCCTTGGATGGTCAAGGGCTTTCTGCCTTTTAAAGATGTTTGTAAACATTTTAACATCTCAAACCTCCCTCCACCTAGGCGAGCAGGAATGGCTCTTCCATTTTGTTGTTTCATTTCCTGCAGGAACTTAATGTTACACAGAGAGGAGATAAATGTAGCTATCAAAATGCATATTGATTGCTTCAATCCAGTCCTTGGGTTTGCATATTGAAACTCAGCCTTGTCACCTTTCCTAAACTGCTCTGATAACCACATACTGTTCTCCATCACATCAAGATGATATGATTAGCCCTAACCGGTTTGGCTCAGTGGATAGAGTGTCGGCCTATGGACTGAATGAATGGTCCTAGGTTTGATTCCAGTCAAGGGCATGTACCTTGGTTGGGGGCACATCCCCAGTAGGATGTGTGCAGGAGGCAGCTGATCGATGTTTCTCATCGATGTTTCTAACTCTCTCTCTCCCTTCCTCTCTATAAAAAAAATTCAATAAAATATATTTTTTAAGTAAAGAAATTGTACTCAATAAGTATTTCTTATTAAAAACAAAAAGAAGTTGTGATTAGGGTGAGCATGTGTTAGTCATATCTTCACATTTTTGGTGGTCCAAAACAGAAGCAATTTTTTTAGGGATGGTTTCCAACCTAAGATTAATAAATATATGGTTCCAGTGAGGATGTAGGAAAAAAAGAATTTTCCTAGCAGCTCAAAAACATGTAGGGGAGCTACCAAAGTTTAGCAACTCCACCTCTATTTCTGTAGACTTCAGAAATACATGCAAGTTACCTTTTATGCAGATGGGCTGCTTCCCTGACCACTCTCCACTCTGCTGGCAAGTTCTGTTCTCATTGCCACTGAGGACATATGAGCTGTTACAGAAGAAGGAGAAGACGGTGCCAACTTTTGCATGGCGCCCATTGATGAGCCCAGGGCCGCCCGTTATTTTCTTGTATCCGTTGACTGGACCCCCAGGGTCTGAGCAGTTTCTTTCTTCAATGACTAAAGGAAGAATAAAAGAAACGGAGAGCTATTAAAAGTCTGAAGCATTCCATTTTAGGATCGCATCTTTTCATGCTTAACTGAATGGAAAAGACGATAACACAGAGCCTGCTAACAAAGGCACTCAATGGAATTACCAAGAGAAAATGCACAATGGAAAATGAATGTATTAGTCATATCTTCAGCTTTTTAAACAACTTATTTTTAAATAAAAAAGTATTTCATTCTCTATGTAAAGAAAGTTGACATCATGATGGGCTCTCAGATGATCATGTTCATTTCTTTCTCAAAATGTGGGAGCTGGGCAGACCTGGATAAAAGAACCATGTCACCTACCATAGATTTTATGATCTGTATGGAAAGGTTATTGTTTTTCAGTGTTGTTATATTGTCTCCTTTGTTCCCTAAAGCTTGGGCGATTAAACTAGATTATTTCATATTTGTGTTGTACCCAGAAAGTAGAACCGATCAGAAACAAGAGTGCATATATAATAAAACACAGGAAAATAAAGACTGCATACATGAACTGAACTTAGATTTTAGATTTCATCTTCCCGAACATGAGTGTGTTAAACGTTACAGTTAAAAGTACTAGATCACAATATAAATTCAGGGGTACAACAAGTTTCCTTGATGTCCAAGTATAACTTTGCATCTAAACACTTACCAATATTCATTACAAAGGTATTTCTATTCTCTAGTTCAGTTGGACAGCTAGTTAAAGTAGAAAAGGCATCACCAGCTGTTCTGATCACTGAATAGGATATTAGATATATCCTGGAAATATTCTATCAGATAGATCACATATTCTTCTCAAGTGGATTGTGACACAATAGTGAATAATACTTGCCTAATGACACAAAGCATGTCCCACAAAGAATCCAGCCTTTAGTTACTGAGTTTCGGTACCAATTACTCTATTAGCCTCCCTAGTCTCTTTCTTTTTCCTTCTCTCTCTCTCTTTTTTTTTTAGTTGTTGAAAGTATTACAGATAGCCACCAATTTCACACAAACTCACTTAGCCCCATTCTCCTAAGTCCCTGGCCTACCAAGGCTTTCATCATACTATTGACTGTGTCCACTGATTATGCCTACATGTATGTAAGTTCTTTGGCTAACCTCTTTCCATTGCCCCACCCCCTGAGATATGTCAGTCTGTTCCATGCATCCATGCCTCTGGGCCCTTTTTGTTGGTCAGTTTATCCTACTCTCTTTTTAAACTTTTCTTCTAAGACACAATGCATTGGACATTTTTTTCTTCCCATGATTGTCCCAACTACCTTTCAAGCAACTTGCCTCCAGGCAAGAAAAGAATCTCCATTCAGATAACATTTTAAAAATATTTGAGAACAAAATTAATTATTTCCTAATTTCAATTTGGCAAGGTTGCTGATATTAGCTAAATTATAGATTGTTTACGCTAAGATTGCCGACAGACCAAGCAGTGGCTGATCTCAGTGATATTCTGCTTCTGGCTATATAATATGAGCAAATTCCCTGGTGGCTGAGTCCAAAGCCAATCTGACGTATTAAAAAAAAAAAAGTCACTGAGTGAGCTGTAAAAAGTTCCAATAATGGTATAGGGAATGCAGTGTACTTTGTGAACTCAGAGAGTACCTGTGGCCCTGGCTGGTGTATATCAGTGGTTACCATGTTGGCCTGTGCACCAGAGGGTGGTGGGTTTGATTCTGGTCAAGGGCATGTACCTGGGCTGCAGGTTTGATTCCCTCCACCCCGATTCCCCCGCATTGGGACGCATGTAGGAAGCAACCAATCAATGTGTCTCTCCCACACTGATGTTCTCTTCTCTCCTCTTCTCTTCCTCTCTTCTTTCTCCCTCTCCCCCTCTCTTCCACGCTCTCTCTAAAAATTCAATGGAAAAAATGTCCTCCCTCCTAGGGTGAGGATTTAGAAAGAAAGAAAATAAAATACACATAGACTCAAAGTGCCAGTGCTTGTATCGCCAGGAATGGAATAAAACAGAGAAAGCATTCCACACTGTTTTCATGATGGGGCCACCTTCTGATAGTACAGACTCATTCAATGCTCAACATGCAGCTCGGCAGCAACTAACAGGCGTCCACAGACTGCAATCATCTTATAAGCATGGTATGTTATACCTGCCAGTTTTAGAAAATTGGATAATTGCAAACATAAAAATCAAAAGAATTCTCATAAAATTCTGTATTAAATTCAGATCTAGAAACCCTGAGCCTGTATCCCCACATGGCCACAGCCCCTCTCAGTCCCCCAACCTCCACCCCATCCCAGCTGCCTGGTTCTGCAGGCAACTAAATCTGTGGACAGTTAGCTTATCAAAGGGTGATGATTTGTGTAATGCAAGTGTAGTTCTTCATCTATTTTGAGCTTTGTCGTTAGAACTTATGGCCAAGAAAGACTGGGTGATACTCAAGACCAGTACTGAAATACTGAAAGAGTGAACTGTACTCAAGCCACATAAGTCTCAGCAGAAGATAAGAGATCCCTTCAATAGTGAGCTTGAGGGTAGGGATCTTCTCTCCTTGGATATAGGTGCTGCCACAGTCCACCAGGCTCCCACCCATGATTTCCTCTGTGCAGAATTCTCATACATTTAATGTGTATGTAACTAGCAGGAGCCTTGGAAAGTTCTCAAGCCTTTGGAGGTAAGAAAGCTTAGGACAATTCGGGTCCTTTGTTTCTCTCCCGATGGAGGCTTTACAAGAAGACTTAAAGAGAAACAGACTCAGGATGCACAATCAAGTCTGCCACGGCTGAGGAACTCGGCCATATTTCTGTCATTCTTAGATGCATACATACTCTTTTACTATGTGTTATGTTTGACCTCAGGTCACATGTATATTTTTCCTGTAGTATTTCTTTATGCCAACCCCCAGGAAAGCTATCATTATATCAACAGTGGATCTTAAACTTGATGAGATCCTAGAATGGAGTACTATTATTTGGTTTTAAGTTACTGTTCATGGAATCTCACCAGGACAGATAGGAGTAATGCTTCCAAGTTGGGAGCAAGGCTCTATGGCTAAAATTCAAGAGACATATAGACAATAGAAAGAGACTTACAAAGGATCTATATAGTGTAGTTGTTTGACATTGCTTAAAAACAATTATACTGAATATGTTCAGGGAACTAAAAGATAAAATTTCAGTAAAAAACAGAAAATCTTGAAAAATAACCAATGGACAAATCTAGAACTGAAAGGTTACAACAACAGAAATTAAAAACTCAGTGAAGGAGTTTAATAGAAAATCAGATATAGCTTAAGAGTAAGAATAAACTAAAAGATAACTTTAAAAAAAATCAGAATGAAGCTCAAAGCAGAAAAAGGTAAAATATGTACAGAAAAAGTAAGGGACACAGGGCACACATTGAGAAGGTTAATCAATACATGTTATTGGCATACCAGAAAGAGAAGGGAGAGAGAAAGAAGCAAAAACAATATATAAAGAGAGAATATCTGAAAAAAAATCTAAAACAGATGAAAGACATCAACCTACAGATTTACAAAGCCCAAGGCCAGATAAACATGAAGAGAGACATACACAGACATAATACATAAAACTGTTGAAAACTAAAACCAAGAGGAAAAAAATTTTAAACAGCCAAAAGTAGAAAAGGAGGCTGGAAAAACATACTTGAATATAACTATTCTCATTATCCCTAGCTTATAACTTTAAAAATGAGTTTTGCTTCTTTAGACTTTTCCCCAAGTTTTATAATCGAAAAATGTAACCCTAAACATTTGTTATTCGTTTTTTTGTTTGTTTGTTTCTTTTCTTTTCTTTTCTTTTCTTTTCTTTTCTTTTCTTTTCAAGTATCAGGCAAAATGGTTTGGGTCTAAACCTTTCTTTTGTTTTCATACTCTTTCCACCCCATATAAATCTCTTATTCTAGAGTAATCCAAATTTGCATTTTCTCAAATTTAGAAAAGTTTTGTTTCCAGATGCTGGTGAAAAAAGAATGGCCTCCAGGATCAGCTAAATACAGGTTCAAATAATCATTTGGTTCCCCAATGTTCAGAACAAGCTCAATAAGTGCTCAATAAATATTTGTTGGGTGTGGGAAAATAACCTAATATTTCCAAGCCCTGTTTTTCTCATCTGTAAAAGTGGATAATACCATTTATCTGTCTGGGCTGGTTTAAGGAGTAATTGAAATAGCACCCAGTCTCTTTTTCCCTTGTTTGCCTTTATTTACAAAGCTTCCAACTGCTTTACAAACCAATTCTCAAATTCATACACATTAAAGAACAATCCACAAAGAAATCTAAAGCCCATGGTTGGCCCTATTTGAGTAACGGGCAATATTCCACTCTATTATCTGGCCTCTTGGTAATGGCTACCCATGATGGGCTTCCAGACCTGAGTCCAGTGTGTTGACTAGGGCTTCTGGGTACCAACCATGGTCTCTGTATAGTCATCTCTTTTAATCTTGCACAACAAAATCTTAAACTTGAATTCCTATATCAAACGTCCAGGGGACATAATTCTCTCTTCCCTCTCCCTTGTTTTCAAAGCTGTACGCTAGGACGCTTTGAAGAGAATTCTAAGCCTTCTTCCATCCATTCTCTTCTCTCCTGTTGGGTTCATAGACCATCAGTATCTCATCAGAGCATCTCCCCAGGGTTAGATTTCAAAAACAAACTCTACTGCCAACCCCTGCCATCCCTACAGGTTCTCTTTTTAGAAACCTTTGTATCGCCCAATTAAATAGACTCATGGTTCTTTTCCATTTGATTTTCCAAGGCTTTGTGTTTCATTTCTCCTCAGTGGGATGGTTGTTTCTAGACCAAGTCAAATGAGAATTTAAAACATCTGCATCCCTGGTCTTAAGGAGCATCAAGCTCCTGCTTTGCTAAGTAAAAATAGTCTGTGATTAATAATAAATAACCCGCTGCCCCATTACTTTTGTGATTCACTCCAGGGATACAGACACATTAAGTTTAGTGAGCCCTTGAAGACTTGGGAGTCTATTTTTCTGGGATATTATTTCATATAAA